ATATATATATATATATATATATATATATATATATATATATATATATATATATATATATATATATATATATATATATATATATATATATATATATATATATATATATATATATATATATATATATATATATATATATATATATATATATATATATATATATATATATATATATATATATATATATATATATATATATATATATATATATATATATATATATATATATATATATATATATATATATATATATATATATATATGTTGTTACATTATACATGAATTAACTTTCACTCTTAAACAATTTTATGCGTCCATAATAAATAAGAGTAAATCATCAGTTTTGAAGTAAATTATTAAGATTTTATAATAATAATAATAATAATAATAATAATAACAATAATAATAATAACAATATTATTATTATTATTAACATTATTATTATTATTATTATTATTATTATTAATATCATTGTTATTATTGTTGTTGTTGTTGTTGTCATTATTGTTATTACTATTGTTGTTGTTATTATTAATTATTATTATCATTATTATTGTTGTTGTTGTTATTACTATTTTTATCATTATCATTATTGTTGTTGTTGTTATTGTTATTATTATTAATAATATTAATTTGAGTGTTTTACTTGTGCAAATAATAATATTAATAATAATAATAATATTTATTGAGTAGCAGATCATCAAATAATACATAAAAATAAATAAATAAAACAAAAATAAATAATAAAAAATTAAAAATGGCAATGAAATCGTACTAAGAAAACTATTATTTTAAATTTAATATACTTATTTTTTGTATTTACTGTAAAAGTATTATTTTATATTTTAAATGTAAAACTTTCCATAGCAAGTCTTCGATGGAGGATAAAAAAATAAACAAATGTATAAATATGAATGTATTTGAATGAACAAATAAACTGTTTCCCCAGATCTGCATGCACAAAATGCAGCATTTCACTTTAAGTTGTTTGTTCAATTGACACCATGAACACTTTATTAATAAGCGTATCATCATGGTTTAACCCCAATATTGACACTACTATCCTCACACACCCTGAATACAGTAAAACACTCGCAGGTGAGCGGCTTAAATAAAGTCAGTGTGAGGCTAATGGAGCGTTAAAGATTAATGGCAGCCTCGTTAAACTCTCATTAGAGCTGATCCTTCACTGTTTACTCAGTCAATATCAGCCAGAGGATACACACACACACACACACACACACCCCAATGACACCCAATCACCCGCGTCTTTAAACCTCTGCAGATAATTGAAGATGCTTTGCAATGGGGAAATTAAATCACTTAATTACTCAAGGGTTTATTGTATAAATGCGGACAGATGCTTTCCAACCTGAAACTTCATTATCCTGAGAGTTTAGTGTGTTCATTACATGGAAATATGATAAATGGCAATATATGCTAATTATTATTCATGATATGTGGGTTTATGGCTGGACTGAACACACATAAAATATATGATGCAACATATATAAGTGTATATATACATTTGTTAGTTATATAGTCATATGCAACATCATATTTTATAGACTGAATGAATGATGAGCACTTTAACATTTTATTGTAACGCTGTGACAATAATGACAATAAATAAATTATATATATTTTTTCAAGCATTGAAATTATAAATATGTACATATAGGTTCAAATTAGTGATGTCAAACAATTAATAGCAATTAATTGCATCTGACATCACCGCTTGTTCTTACTGTAATTATTCTGTATTGTGTTAGTTTGTAATTATTAATTAATCGATCAAGGAATCAGTTAATTAATCATGCAATTAATTCATAAAGTAATTCATTAAGTAATTCATTAAGTAATTTATTCATTCATTCCATTCATTCATGAAGAAATGGATAATGAACTAATCAACTAAAAAATAAATGAATAAATGAATGAACTAATTCATCAACTATTTAATTAATTTGATTAATCAATTTGTTAACCAACTAATAAATTATTGAATGAATTAATTAATGAATGAATTAATGAATGAATGAATGAACTGTTGGATGGAAAAATGAATGGATGAATGAATTAACTAACTAATTAACTAATGAATGAATAAATGTAATAATCAAGTAACGAATGAATAAATGAACGAATGAATTAAGTAGTTCATTCTTTAGCTAATTAGTTATTCGGAAGAATGAATGAATAAGTAAAGGAATGAACAGACGAACGAACATATAAATTAACAAACTAAAGGACGAATAAATGGATGAATGAAGGAATGAATGAAATAATGAATTAATGAACTAATTAATGAATGAACTAATCAACTAATGAATTAATTAAATAATTAATCAACTAATGAGTGAATGAATGAACAAATGAATGAATTAATCGACTAATGAATTAATAAATGAACTAATCAACTAATACATTTCTAATTCATTTATTAGTTTATTCTTTAGTTAATTAGTAAATCAACTAATGAATGAATGAATGAACTAAAGAATAGATTAACAAATGAACAAACTAATTAATTAATCGACTAATGAATGAATGAATGAATGAATGAATGAATGAATGAATGAATGAATGAATGAATGAATGAATGAATGAACGAACGAATGACTAAATGAACTAATCAACCAATGAATGAATGAATCAATAAATTAGTAAATTTCTGATTAAGTAGTTAATTTGTTTAAAACTAAAAGTAGTTAATCAACTAATGAATGACTGAATGAATGAATGAATGAACTAAACAATAGATGAACGAATGAACAAATGAACAAATTAATGAATATATGAATGAATGAATGAATGAATGAACGAACAAATGAATAAATAAATTAATTAAGTAATCAACTAATGAAATAATTAATTAATCAACTAATAAATGAATGAATAAATGAATGAAAAAAATTATTAATTAATCAACTAATCAATGAATAAGTGAACAAACAAATGAAGGACCAAACAAACGAAAGAATTAATAAACTAATCGACTAATTAATGAATGAGTTAATTCATTCATTCATTTATTGAATTAATTAATTAGTTTATTCATTCATTCATTCATTAATAAAAATAGAGAACAATCTATGAATGTGGGTACAAAACGTGTCTTTTATTTAATTTGTTTAAGTTAATTTTAATCTATTTAAATTAAGTTTGTTCTCTTAAATTAACATAAGCAACACTCTTAATTTTAAGAACTCAATATTTAAAGTAATTTAGCTTCTCAAGTAAATTTTGAAACAATATCAATCTTCTGCAGTGAAAACATCTGAAGAAATCCATCCTACATCAGCTGATCTGAAGCTTCTCCACACACACCGACTGCACTGTCCACCAGCATACAGCACAGCAGAGTTCAGTAGAGTGCAGTAAATGGTTAAAGACGCTCACCTGTAGTTTAACCCTCATGCTGTCGATGCTCAGCACTTTATTCTGCAACACAAGAGAAAGAAAAAACAGATCAGCGTTTTGGAGAAACTCCTGCATCATTACCGTCTATCTCTGAGATCCAGAATCCAGCGCAGATCATCAGACGCTTTCAACTTTTATTAAATCCCTAAAGACGCTGCAGCCACATGTTTAATCCAGCAGGCTGAAAATATCCCTGCATTTCATTAGAAGCCTGTTAGAGTAGCCACCATTATAATGCATTATAAATATAGGCTTCACATAAAGCTGTTTTTCTTTACAGAGCCGCTGAGGTTTTTAATGTGCATTAATAAAGAGCCTTTAACTGCAGTTATTATCTTTCTGTATGGAAATGTCCCCATAATGAGTGATTTCGTCCTGTCGTGCATTAATTGAAGGTCTGTTTATTGCCGTGATCTGGATCTGAGCAGATTTAGAGTTGATCTACACTTTATAATGAATCCTACATGTTCCCATCACACTTAATGATGAGTGAGAAAAGCAGCGGCGAGATCAGACACACGGGCTTTTCTGTTGTCAGCACTTTAAGATCAAGGCTCATGAAGTCAGGGCTGTTTTACGTACACCCCCCCCCCCCCCCCAAAAAAAAAAGATGGTTTATAAAAGGTACTTTGAACATAGTAAAAGTGCTGTTCTAGATCTGTATCGCCCTGAAAAGCCTTTAATGACATTCGTAATTCTGATTGGCTGGAAGGTGTACAATAAAATCACCTATTCCTGATCTATTGAGTTTCTTGATTCTGATTGGCTGAAATATGTGCAATAAATTCACTTATTCAATGATCTGCTGAAATTCTTGATTCTGATTGGCTGGTGGATGTGCAATAAAATTACTGATCTGTTGACGTTCTTGATTCTGATTGGTTGGAAGCTGTGTAATAAAATCTCTTATTTCATGGTTTGCTGAAATTCTAGATTCTGATTGGCTGGAAAGTGTGTAATAAAATCTCTTATTTCATGGTTTGTAGAAATTCTTGATTCTGATTGGTTGGAAAGTGTGTAATAAAATCTCTTATTTCATGGTCTGTTGAAATTGTTGATTCTGATTGGCTGAAAGGCATCAAATAAAAATCACATGGTTTATTAAAAATTGTTTATTCTGATTGGCTGGATGCTGTGCAATAAAATCGCTTATTTCATGGTATGCTGAAATTCTAGGTTCTGAGTGGCTGCAACGTATCCAATAAAATCACTTGTACCCCATTTGCTGAAATTCTTGATTTTGATTGGCTGGAAGGTGTGCAATAAAATGGTTTATTCATGATCTGTTGGAATTCTTCATTCTGATTGGCTGAAAACTGTGCAATAAAATCATTTATTTAATGGTTTGCTGAAATTCTTGATTCTGATTGGCTGAAATATGTGCAATAAAATCTCTTATTTCATGGTTTGTTGAAATTTTTGATTCTGATTGGCTGGAAGCTGTGCAATAAATTCGCTTATTCTATGGTCTGCTAAAATTTGTGATTCTGATTGGCTGGAAGGTGTACAATAAAATCCCCTATTCCTGATCTATTGAGTTTCTTGATTCTGATTGGCTGAAATATGTGCAATAAATTCACTTGTGCTATGGTCTGCTGAAATTCTTGATTCTGATTGGCTAGAAGCTGTGCAATAAATTCTCTTATTTCATGGTTTGTTGAAGTTCTTGATTCTGATTGGTTGGAAAGTGTGCAATAAAATCTCTTCATGGTCTGTTGAAATTGTTGATTCTGATTGGCTGAAAGGCATCAAATAAAAATCACATGGTTTATTAAAATTGTTTATTCTGATTGGTTGGAAGCTGTGTAATAAAATCTCTTATTTCATGGTTTGTTGAAATTCTTGATTCTGATTGGCTGGAAGCTGTGCAAAAAATTCGCTTATTCTATGGTCTGCTGAAATTCTTGATTCTTATTGGCTGGAAGCTGTGCAATAAATTCTCTTATCTCATGGTTTGTTGAAGTTCTTGATTCTAATTGGCTGGTGGATGTGCAATAAAATTACTGATCTGTTGAAGGTCTTGATTCTGATTGGTTGGAAGCTGTGCAATAAAATCTCTTATTTCATGGTTTGTAGAAATTCTTGATTCTGATTGGTTGGAAGATGTGCAATAAAATTGCTTATTTCATGGTTTGCTGAAATTCTAGATTCCGATTGGTTGGAAAGTGTGTAATAAAATCTCTTATTTCATGCTCTGTTGAAATTCTAGGTTCTGATTGGCTGCAACGTATCCAATAAAATCACTTGTACCCCATTTGCTGAAATTCTTGATTTTGATTGGCTGGAAGGTGTGCAATAAAATGGTTTATTCATGATCTGTTGGAATTCTTCATTCTGATTGGCTAAAAACTGTGCAATAAAATCATTTATTTAATGGTTTGCTGAAATTCTTGATTCTGATTGGCTAAAAGGCATGAAATAAAAATCACACATTTTATGGTTTATTAAAAGTCTTGATTTTTATCGACTGGAAGGTGTGCAATAAAATTGTTTATTCCTGATCTGTTTAAATTCTCGATTCTGATTGGCTGGACGGTGTGCAAAAATCCCTTTATTTATTTTTTGTTGAAATTCTTGATCCTGATTGGCTGGAAGGTGTGCAACAGAAATGACTAATTCCATGGTTTGCTGAAATTCTTCATTCTGACTGGCTGAAAGCTGCAAAAAAGTAGCATATTCAGGATTTGTTGAAATTCTTGATTCTGATTGGCTGGAAGGTGTGCAATAAAATTGCTAATTTCTGATCTGTTGGCATTCTTTATTCTGATTGGCTGGAAGCTGTGCAATAAAATCATTTAATCCACAGTATGCCAAATTTATATTGAGAAAAAAATATTAAAATTAAATTTGTATTAATATTAAGGAAAAAAAAAGGAAAAACGCACTCAACATCTGTCCACATCTGAGTTAGTCTGTATGTCTTTTTTGAGGTTTTTGCTAGAGTAGTGCTAAAAACAGTAGCAAACGCCTGCACTGTCATCTTCATTGCAGAGGACAAACTTTAGCCATGAATCTGCCGTTGTCCCAGCGCAGTAAATTGGACAGTGTGACAGCTTCCAAAATCAGCTCAGCTTCAGTGTTTGTGTGCTGAAGCGGCAGGACAGCAGGTTTGAGGTCAGTTCATCTGTCACTGTATGATCAGAGTCTGTGCTGATGCATCATAATCAACCTGCTGTCACAAACTCGCATGAAAAAACACACCAGAAAGTTTCATTCTGGAACAAGCCTCCGCTACACAGGACACATATCACTGTCATTTTACCAGAGTAAAAGAGTTTAGAGAGTATGCTTTAAAAACCTGCAGTAACTGTTCAATAACTAAGAACAACATGATGATCATACAGTATGGAACAGTGACATCGAAAATATATGAAAATGAAAGTTAACCCAGAGTTTAGAAATGCACATCAGCTCTGATCTAAACAAAATTGAAAATATGGGTGACATAATACTGGGAAAAGGATGAGCCAAGATAACCTGGGTTTAGGATCCCCCAGGGTTAACTATTTCAAGTGTGAAAAACCCCAATCAGACACAGCGAAACAAGAAAATGTAGCAAGTAATAAAATGGCAGCCCGGAGTCCTGACCTAAACCTGATTGAAAACAGGGCTATACCATACTGGGAATAATGACCCAGGTTTAGCATGATCCAGGGTTAACAATTTCAAATGTGAAAAGCCCTAATGAGACACAGCAAAACAAGGAAATGTAATCAGTAATGAAATGGCAGCCCAGAGTCCCGATCCAAACCTGATTGAAAAAAGGGCTGCAAAATGCTGGGAACAAGATGACCTGGGTTTTGGATGACCCAGGGTTAACAATTTCAAGTGTGAAAAGCCCTAATTAGATACAGTAATAATGAAGTGGCAGCCAGAGTCCTGACCTAAACCTGATTGAAAACAGGGCTATACCATACTGGGAATAATGACCCAGGTTTAGCATGATCCAGGGTTAACAATTTCAAATGTGAAAAGCCCTAATGAGACACAGCAAAACAAGGAAATGTAATCAGTAATGAAATGGCAGCCCAGAGTCCCGATCCAAACCTGATTGAAAAAAGGGCTGCAAAATGCTGGGAACAAGATGACCTGGGTTTTGGATGACCCAGGGTTAACAATTTCAAGTGTGAAAAGCCCTAATTAGATACAGTAATAATGAAGTGGCAGCCAGAGTCCTGACCTAAACCTGATTGAAAACAGGCTACACGATACTAGGACTAATGACCCAGGTTTGGGATGATCCAGGGTTAACAATTTCAAGTGTGAAAAGCCATAATTAGACACAGCAAAACAAGTATGTAACAAGTGCTAAAGTGGCAGCCCAGAGTCCCGATCTAAACCTGATTGAATAATAGGGCTGCATCATACTGACAAAAGGATTACCCAGGATGATCTGGGTTTTGGATGACCCAGGGTTAACAATTTTTAGTGTAAAAAGCCCTAATCAGACACAGCAAAACAAGTAAATGTACCAATGAAATGGCAGCCCAGAGTCCCGATCCAAACCTGATTGATAAAAGGGCTGCAGGATACTGGGAACAAGATGATCCAGGTTTAGAATGACCCAGGGTTAACAAATTCAAGTGTGAAAAGCCCTAATTTGACACAGCAATACAAGCAAATGTAACAAGTGATGAAGTGGCTGCCCAGAGTCCTGACCTAAACCTGATTGAAAACAGAGCTACACGATACTGTGAACAAGATGACCCAGGTTTAGGATGGCCCAGGGTTAACAATTTCAAGTGTGTAAAGCCCTAATTAGACAAAGCAAACAAATAAATGTAACAATGACGAAGTGGCTGCCCAGAGTCCTGACCTAAACCTGTTTGAAAACAGGACTGCACAATACAGGGAATAATGACCCAAGTTTAGCATGACCCAGGGTTAACAATTTCAAGTGTGAAATCCCTAATTAGACACAGCAATACAAGGAAATGTAACAAGTAATGAAGTGGCAGCCCAGAGTCCTGACCTAAACCTGATTGAAAACAGGGCTATACCATACTGGGAATAATGACCCAGGTTTAGCATGATCCAGGGTTAACAATTTCAAATGTGAAAAGCCCCAATGAGACACAGCAAAACAAGGA